CTCTTCTGCATTTGTGCCCACTTGGTCTCTTTCATTATTGGCATCATCATCATTGTCTCCAGCATCTGTTTACACTGGTTCCATAGATAAATAATCTGGCCCTGTGCTGAAAAGCAGCAGTGAATCTGAGTTGATTTCAGATGGCATATCACTGTTGTTGTCTTCTGAAGATGCAGATCTCCAACGCGGCCATAGGTGGCATGGCTTTCCATTGATGACAACTGAATGTGGCCTGTAGACCCCTTTCACTATTCCTTTTTTGAATTGCATTGACTATGTAAGGTCTTTACCCAAACTGCATCTCCTGCTCTGTAGATTCCAGGATATGTGTGTCGAAGTTGTGGTGCAACATTGACACCTTTTACGTGAGCTTGATAGTTGTATATGGAGTTAGCTGGTGCCAATGAAGCTGTTGTGTCATCTTTTGGTGTCATGTTATACCAAAATAAGACCTCCATAATGAAACATCCTGACTGAGCAGCAATACACTTGATGGTGCAATGACATCTCTCCATGATGCTATTCCCTGATAGTTGATAGGAACACTGGTATCTAAGTCAGACACCCCAGTTCTTGACAAACCTCATGAATACATCCCCACAGAATGCCGCACTATTATCAATGAGCAGCTTGACAGTTGGCCCTCTCTCACAGAATAGTGGCTCCAGTTGTTGGATGAGGCAGGCAGTGTCTTAATGTAATAGTTGCCAGATGGAAAACTGACTAGGGCCACAGTCAGTCAGGTAATCCTGGCCTTCATAATGGGTTATGTCCATTCCTACCCTGTTCCAATTCTTGCACACATCCAACTGTCCAGCTTTCCAATGCACTGGTGCTGGGTCAAAGAACTAGCACACTTTGCACTCTTCAACCATTACCTGAACAGCTACCTTTGAGACCTTGGGGTGGATTCTTTGTACAAAGTACAAGGTGCACTCCACACCAAGATGCCCACTATGTTGATGGATGGCTTGAATATGGGTTGATTCCTGCTCTGCTATAGATGCAGTGCATACTGGTTCTGTTTTTTTCCAAACTGCACTCAGCCAATGTTGAGGCACTCTGGTGAGCTAATTGGCTCAGTTTGCATGGGATTTGATAAACTCTATGTCAACAGTCAATTTACATTCCTCCACCAGTTCTTTGATTGTACTGAGCCAACGTCTTAACAACATTTCTGTTCCCGCCTTCGTGCACACTCGAGACCTTCCAGACAGTGTATCAGAAACCCATTGATGCACACACGTTGAGTCAGTCTTCAGATGAACCACAGTTGCTCTCCATTGCAGTGCCATGTTGGTGCCTCTCAAGATCATGTTGAACTCTGCCAGGTTGATATGCTTGTCATCACATTCTGATTGCAACCAACAGGCATCTCCAACCAGGGATTCACCATTTTCCACAATGACACCAGTGGCGCCAAAAAGCTTGCATCAACCCACATAATAACTTCGCATCCATCAACATACCAATCACCTT